ACACCGGGCTGGCAGAGGCACTCGGGCGGGCGGGAAGCACCCAGGGCTCCCGCCCGAACCTCGTCTCTGTGACCGGTTTCGAGAGCGGGTGGTTCCGAAACGCTTCATCCCATCTCCCGATGTTTCTGGGATGGAGACAGAATAGGAAATACCTGTAGCGGGATCCTAGATCTCACATTCCGCTGCACTTGAAGGAGAGATTAGAGCCAGCTTGCGTTCTGCGTATCTCAGGAGACGCAAATGCAGCACCGAAGCTCCAGGAAGGCTAGGAGGATGTCGCTGGTTTTGCATCTTCTGGGCCAACTGGAAAGCCAAAGCGGGTCCCCAACATAAACAAACGCAAGTAGCTGCTCCAGCCTAGCATCGAGCTGTGGGGCAGCCCAGACTGACAGAGGGCTGAGCAATATGGCACAAGCTCTCTCCTGCTCCCGAAACAGCACGCAGCACAGGATGAATCATGTGAAGATGCACACTGTGGCTCTCTGTTGTCCAAACATGAGAAGAATTCTCCAAGGGGCCATTCTGCTCCCCGTATGACTCCTCTATAGCACTCCAGCAAGGTAAGGGGACTATGGGAAGGGCTAGGTGTTACTCAGGGCTCAGCTGCTGCCTCGTCACTTCCTCTGATAACTCATCGCAACTCAGAACTTGGCTGCTTCTGGATCCCAGGCTCCTCCGTCATCATGAGTCAAGGGGACAGCCAAGCACGCTGCTTTCCTATGCATGTGCCATGTGTCATCATATGCATGTGTGTGGACACATGTTTTGTTCTACATTCTCATACGTCTTTCCAAATGTTTACCTAGGATTGGAAGAATTTGAACAAATAGTCGTAGCTTGTCAGCAGCAAGCCCTGGAAACATGAGGCTCCCTGAGCTTCCCAGACAATAGAGCATGAAGGAGTAAAGTTTCGGTAGAAGCTTAGCAAGATCTTGCAGATCCCAGCAGAACACTGCTGCTGAAGCCAGCTTTATTGCTGAAAACACTTGCTCCCAGAAGTAATTAAAAAAAAAAAACAACAAAAAAACCCCGATCTGCTTGGGAGTATTCATGAAATAAGAAGTCAAGAGCTCGTGCCTTAATACGACAACCCAAACTCTGCGTCCCTTGCACCCACAAGTCAAGAATGGTCTTGACTCTTGGTTCATTCTGTTGTGGTGGATGCAGTGTGAACTTGTGCAAAGTCCATTTGTATATTGCTCTGCAGCTTTGGTTCAGACTTGTGCCTTCCAAAGACATAATGCTGT